TTCGTCTTTAAGGTGGGTTATTGATTTTAAAATCAATTAGCCTAGCCTAGATGTTGACAAGCTAGGCTCGCTCCTCGTTCATTTAGAGACAGAATTATACCCCCACGACCACAAACTAGTGTAGGCCTGGCAAGTACTTAGTAACAGTAGGACGTACTACAGGTACTAGGCCTAGGCTTTTGTTGTAAAAGTTGAAGTGCATGTACAAAATGCGCCATAGGCCTATATTAAAAAAAAAAAGTTTTGCTAATTATTATTGGTTGGCCTGGGACCGGGACAGGCAGGCCAGTTTACCATCGAAAGTCCTGGAATTGGACGATGATGTCAGTGCACGTTTACAAAAAAATGCCATTGATTAGATTGAAAATAGACGCACTGAATTTCGTTTTTTTTTTTCATGAAAGATAGAATTTATCGAACATTTATCTATATAAAAACAAGATTAATATAATTGTAGAAATTGTATTTCTAAAGATGCATATAATTCATATTTCATTTGGTAGACAATAAATATTCAGGAAGATATACTAAAAACGATTATTAATTCTAAAATGTGCATCAAATCTCAGCTATTATTAATCAGTATGTATTATGTTAAAGTCTTAAAATAATAATTTTGAATTAGGCCTCGAATTAGGCCTAGTATATAAAAAATAATTGTATTAAAGTTTAGGTTCTCATGATGTCAGATAACGTAGGCCTATTGAATATGATGCTATATTTTGGGCTCTGACTTAATTTAACGATGGCCCTGTCAGTAGTAATGACAATATTTGTGCTTTTTTTAGCCATGTAGTAAAATAGTACTATTATTTTCAGTATGAGAGTCAAGAAGAAGAATAAGAAGAGGAAGAAGAGGAATAGTTTTTTGTTTTTTTTATAATAATAAATGTGTTGAGTATATTGATATTGATTATGCGATGGAGGGGTCTTTCGGTGTTATTTAAACATGCCAATTCTCAGACAATATTTTCTAATTTTATTATATTACCACCTTTTTATTACATAGTTCTTTTTCAAAACATAACTGCTTTTAAAACATTATATACACCCATTAAACACAAAAACTGCTCTGGCTTTGGGGGCCTCGCCCACGACCCCACCGTGGCCCTTAGGCAGGCCCCTGGACCTCACGCCCAGAGAACCCCCCCTTGAAATGACCTGGCTATGGGCCTGAGCATGTGGATCAATTGTGTGTTTGAATGACATGTTCATGTATGGGAAAAGGGAGGCTTACTTTACTTCAACAAATGTTCTGCTTAGAGTTACTTCAAAGTAAACTGAATAATTATAAGGAATACATTTATTTAAGCAACTTATTTAATTGCATACTTGGTTTCTACTCCCTGCCAAGTAAATTTAAGTGCCTAAAACTATACTAAATAATGTAAACTGAGATACAATATTATATACATAGTTATGTAAATATGGCAATTATGCTAAGAATTAAAATGGCGTTTAATTGTGAGGGTAAAGTAATAATTATGGTAGGATCAAATGGTATTGCTAAATCCCAAAAACCTCCTAAAACACACCGTAGAAAACCAAACAATTCAATTGTGATTGACTCACTTGGTATATCAATAAGAAAATTAAATATTTATAAGAACCTATTTTTGGTTAAAATTGGCAAATACCCCACAATCCTCCTAACACCATGCGAACCCCATCCAAACATTTTAATTACGATTGTAGTACTTTCTTTTTCTAAAAAAAAAAAATAATAATTTGAACTCATTGTTTGTGGGGTTTACCAATACCCGGATTGAATTTCTGGAAAATTGTGAGTCCGCTTCCTTGAAATTGGCCACAAATAAATTATTTTAGTATTAATAAATGCATGATTTATGTTGATTTATTGATTATATTGTTGCTATTTTTGAACATTTAAATGGAAAAAAAAAAAGAAGTGTTATTCATGGCTTTTTTTTTTATCTTTGAATATTTTATCATTGAATATGTAATTTCTGCAAAAAGAAAAATGCAGTTTATTTAATGTTAGATTCCTTTTAAAAACTAAATTATTTCAGTTTAAAAAAATACATATAATGATTTAAAAAAAAAAAAAAATCAGTTTTAATACAGAATTTTATTATTGGGGCCATTTTTACCTACCTGTCATCTGGGGCCATTTTTACCTACCTGTCATCTGGGGCCATTTTTTCCGTTACCATTTTTTCCGGGGCCATTTTTACCGGGGCCATTTTTTCCGGGGGCCACTTTTTCCTGGGCCATTTTTTCCGGGGCCATTCTTACCGTACACCATGAAGTTGTAGCTTCTTCTGTCATTTCATTACAGTACTTGATTTTGAGACAAATCATTATGCAATGTACCAATGCCAGAGTCCGTTTCTTAATTAAAGCTTGGGGTGACACAAGGGTCGAGGGAAACTTGATAAAACTCATCATTTGCATAATACCTTTAGGTCGTACATCAGAGGTTAATGGTTTTTTAAAAGCCGAGGTCTGCCTAAACCGTTAGACCACCCACAGATACAATACCGGTAAGAACCCTATGTAAATTTTTCCCGTTCTCGCCCGAACATACCCTGAGTGCAACATACGGAATAATGGCCTATGGGCAAGAAAGTGTACACATTGCAAAAAACTGGACTAAAAGTTACATTTGAATACAGTGTCCCTGGAAAGAGAACTAGAGAATATCCCCCAACATACCGTATTTTAAAATTTAGACATAAATTGTTTTAGCAGCTAACATGTTTCTTTTGTGATCAGAGGTGTATTGTACTATAGCATTGTGACTTATTGAGGATTGGATTTTAGAGCTATGTTTATGTTGTTATGTTATGTATTACAATATAAATCTTTACTACTATTAGTGTCGGTCCTCCCCCCCCCCCCAATACATACGGAATAATGGCCTATGGGCAAGAAAGTGTACACATTGCAAAAAACTGGACTAAAAGTTACATTTGAATACAGTGTCCCTGGAAAGAGAACTAGAGAATATCCCCCAACATACCGTATTTTAAAATTTAGACATGAAATTGTTTTAGCAGCTAACATGTTTCTTTTGTGATCAGAGGTGTATTGTACTATAGCATTGTGACTTATTGAGGATTGGATTTTAGAGCTATATTTATGTTGTTATGTTATGTATTACAATATAAATCTTAACTACTATTAGTGTCAGTCCTCCCCCCCCCCCCCAATCTATTGTTTATGTGGAATGTAGGACATAAACCACCCAGGACGAAAACCACCCAAAAAGGAATATACCATTGTTAATGTAGGGTGGTCAGTGGGGTGGACAATGTTGGGTGTGCCTGTTTTTATCAGCTTCACAATAGGATAGATTACACTATGACTTCCTATTATACGCCTTTAATTCATTCAACCCTTTTGACAACATGCTTGTATGTCAATAATCATTGTAGATTTTTCCAGATTTCAGTAATCACTGTGCTTAAAGTTTGTACAGTTATCGTCTTTAATGTAAACGTAATATGTAATTGTGAAATAGGTGCACTCTATTTGTAATGGAGTATTTAATTAGATTGTATTCACTATTATGGAAATAAATTGGTTTACTACTAAATTACTATGCATGTCTCTTTATAACTGTAATTAATGCAGAAATATTATACAGTAGTGACAATTCAATCAAAACAGATAAAATAGTAAGACCTTATTAACCTACATTCATTATATTGGATATGACTGTTTACATTCACATTATTATTATTATTATTATTATTATTATTATTATTAAATCATGTTTAAAGTAGGGACAAGTCCTTGTGAATACTATAATATTAGACAAAAACACTGTGCATATCTCTTTATAATATTTTACATTCAAAATATTATTAAATTGAACTATTTTTAATTTTTATGTTCCTAAAACAAAAGTTCTTTCTTCTTTAATATATTCAGGTATTCTTGCTTGGAATTCATTACTGGATTCCATTAAAAGCCTGAATACACTCAGATCATTTAAATTTGCTGTTAAAAAGTTTCTTCTCAACAATATGACTGTTTAGACGGTTGAAAATTATTAAATGATGTTTTTAGTGCGTGTATGTATATTATATTTATATTTATATGTATTAGGTTTATTAAGGACTGAATCTGTCTTTTATATATAGCTATATTTTGTTGTTTGTCGTTTTTTATCTGCAGAGTTTTTTATTAGTTCATTTCACATAATTTCATGAAGGGGACCCCTATGGAAATAATTGTCCTTTTCGCAATTTTAGGGTTATCCCCGATACGCTCTTTTGTGATTTGATCTGTTTCATGTGTTTTTGTTCCTGTCGAATTTTTTAAGGAGCATATTAAATAAATCAAATCAAATTGAAAGTCATTTTTAAGAGAAGTCGGTACAAGCTCTTTTATATATTATATATTAGTAAAGTGCATTCTGTAAATGGAGCCTATTTAATGTTTGTTAATAAATGAATAACCTGTTCAATAATATATTCAGTTTTAGATTGTATTCTATTATAGAAATATACTGGTTTTACTACAATTCAATGAAAACAGATAAAAAGAAGATAAAATAGTAAGATCTTTTTAGGCTACATTCATTAATGGATGACTTTTTACATTTAAATTATTATTATTATTAGAGGGAACTATCTAATTGAAAATAATAATTTTTAAAGTAGGGATATGTCCTTTTAGAAATGTAAATAAATTTGGAATACTAAAATATTAGACAAATACTATAAAGATAAAAAACATTATTAAATGTATTAAAACTTTACTACAAGTTTTAAATTATAATTTCCATAAAGCTTTGAAGTTAATTGTTGTGTTAAAATCATTAAAAAAAATACAAACTTTAAGCACAGTGATTACTGAGATCTACAGTGATTACTAACGTACATGCATGTTATCCCGGGTGGTTTAAGTCTGATTTCCGTTTAGAATTCTGTTTACGTGTTTTGCTTAAAATGGTTGATATTGATGATTTAAGTAAAATATAGTCATATAAATTCAATTCTAACATGTTGATTTTTTTTTTCTGAATATAGCCTTAAATTCCATACAAATCAAAATGCAAGAGAAGTTTTTATCAGTTCTGATGTGTTTTACGTTGAGGTTTTGTTGGAGAGTAGTGGCATAGTGGAGGATGTGAAGATCTACCGACAAGATGAACCTGTTGTATGTATTATCCTTATCGGGTACTTTACTACAATATGTTAACATTATAGCCAAACATGTCTTACATTATTCACTTCACAGCTTTGGAATCTGCAAATATATTTCACACAATATTTAAAAAACCATGGCATTTAATTTTTTTTATGATAACTTTATTTCCTATTTGAACATTTTGACTTTCATTATATGCCTTGTATTCCTATTTGAACATTTTGTCTTTTATTGTGCCTTGTATTTTTTGTGGATTTTTTTTATTCCTGCTTATTGATACTATTTTTGTTGTGTTTAAACAAAACTGGATCATTTTTAAAAACAGTACAGTGTTACCGAAAATTGACCTATATACATAGCTCCACTATGTGTGAGCGTTTCATTTAAGCCCTTCTCCCACCTAGATTTATTTCATCCAAAAGTCTCACAAGTTCTACAAGATTCAACTTGTGAAACTCGTGATCTAATTTGCTTGGGAAAGGACCTCTATACTGGTTCATGCCTGTAACATGATGAAAGATAACATTAACAGAAAAAGGCGCTATACATTAGTTACATTCATATAAATTATCAATGAACTTAATATGGAATACGTACCTAAAACCAACTCTGTATAGGGACAATCCCTCTCTTCCGTAAACAATGGAACTTCTAATTACAATACAATAACAAAACACCCTTCCCATAATACTCTGCACTGGAAGAAACTAGGATATTCTCTATAAAAATCACCCACAGTGGACTATACAGTGGGCAGTGGGATAAAAAAAAAAGATGTCACAGAGGTCACGTTGGCTGTGTAATCACATAAACTAGTAGTAAAATGTCTTGTAGAAAGCTGAAATTGTGCTTGTAGGTGCTCTCTGATGTGTAGTTGAACCGCTGGTAGTTAATTTGGATTGGATTGGATTTATTCGGTGTAAACACCAAGGATAGCCCACGAAAGTCTAGAAGAAGACTTATTTCTAGTGGGGTCCTTCTGATGGTGATTGGCAGTACATCGGGAGACAATCCCCTGCACATGGGCCATCGATACACACAGGACCAACAGCTTAAACGTCTCAACCAAAAGACAGTGCACTATTTTAAACTTGTATTTCAGCCCTCCAGCTGAAATACAAGCAGAGGCAGCAATGGAAATTGAACTGGGGACATAGAGATCTCCACTGTTTAGCGCATACACAGTTGCTACCCCGAGATTAGCCAATTGAGCTAAGCTTCTCTCTCGAGCAGTACAAAATAACAAAGACACAGGATCTTTATTTTGTGATTTCTCATGAATAAGGTCATCCAGGTCTTCTGTTTCGGGTGATTTCAGGCGCTGTTTATTCGCGACACGATAGAGATCAAACCACATGAAGTGTAACCACCTAATTATTTATTACCATATTGAAAGTTTATAAAATTTAGGTTGCGAAATTGGGTGGTCGACGAATACTCTGAGCAAATGTTTACGTAAAGAATTAAGCCCCAAAAAATGGCAGCCATCGTCGGAGCTTTCCAAGGTCTTACACACTTAGGTCTAGCCTAGGCCTACGCTTAGCTAAGTTTAGCCCAACAGATAGCATTCACAGAATTTATATTGTAAAAATAATACAATACCAGCAAATACAAGTAAATGAAATATTTGTAACTGTATGTAAAGACTGTTACAACAATCGGTAATTCCAGCTGTCACTCGATGTTTACTTTTTACCTTCATTTCAACAAAGTTTTTCATCTATTAGTACAAAATAACAAAGACACATACAACGGGATCTTTATTTTGTGATTTCAGTTATATCACACAATAACAATCTTGGAATAAGTCAAACCTTAAAATTTTTATTGTAAAGAACCTGCTAATATAATAACAAGGAAGGGAGAAAAGCAAGCATTAGATTTTAGAGGTACAGCTAGTGTGACCAGCCTACGTACCAAGGACACATAGGCAATTTTACCCAGAACGTAGACAAGGATTTCCCGTTCAAATTAAATACAAAACTATAATATAACTAGTTTTGAACTCGTCACTGATGACAAGTTTAGGTGATCCGCTTGTCAAGCAAAAGAAATCTCTCGGCGCTTAAAAGTATGAATTACGGGAAACTACCGTAGCCAGGATTTTCAAGCAGTGCAAGACGATTGATCAACAATAAGCGAGATACGTTAAGTGAGTATAACAATTATGACGTTATAAATAAAAAAATCAGTTTTTAAAAATTCAGATGGCAATATGATGACGTCACAATGTCCGATCATCCATTGTGATCTATAAAATCATATCTACAACTCATGTGCTTTCAGAATATGTAATAAAAATTGGGTGTCACCTTTCATCTTAAGGAGCTGTAACTGATTAAATAATAGGCATGATTTTAAGCATTTTAAAATTTTGATGCACGCGTACGCGCACGTTATGACGCGCACACAGAAAATTAAGGTACGTAACATTCAACCTTGACCTGAAGTTTATGATTACTAAATATGATTCAGAAATGACGAATTAATATGATATGGGGTCATGAAAGTTTTGAGGAAAGAAAGATGAGGGAGGTCAGAAAAAACATTTATTTTGACCATGATGATGTCATCAAAATGTAAAAAAAAGTCACATATATGAAAGAGAATTGTCTCAGCTAAAACGTACTCAAAGTTTGGAGACGATCGATCAAGGATAAGCGAGATACGCTCAAATGCGTATTTTCAAAAACGACTTCATAAACAAAATTCAGTTTTATTGAATTCAGATGGCAATATGATGACGTCACAATGTCCGATCAGCCATTATGATCTATAAAATCATAAACTCATGTGCTTTCAGAATATGTAATAAAAATTGGGAGTCACCCTTCATCCTAAGGAGTTATAACTGATTAAAAATAGGCCTAATTTTAGCATAGTTTCACTGTACATTGGCACAAACGTGCGCAAAGATCTCGAAGTTTGATACGCTCGTATGGCATTGCTATTGGCCATAAGATGACCGAAAGAATGGATTTTTGTGAAAACAATTTCAGGAACCCAAAATATGTCAAAAAACCCCGTAATTTTTAGCCTCCGTATGTGCTGCGCACGTAAAAAGTGTGAAATTTCAAAATGGTCAAAATGACCTGAAACGTGCTGTAATTTAGTGAAAAAGTGATTTTGAACATTTTGAAATTTTGACGCACACGCAAAATATTTTGGTACGTGATATTCAACCTTGACCTAAAGTTTATGCCTACTGAATATGATTGAGAAATGACAATTGATATGGATGATATGATCGATAATGTAAAAATGCAAAATTGCGCGTAGATGACGTCACGAATGACTAAGCACATTGACAAGGCGAGCGTCATAACCAATGAAGGCTGCATGGTTGAACAGGTCCAAATAACCGTCGAGAAAATTGTATTACACAATGGTGCGCTTCAAGAGGGCATTCGGCCAGATACAATATATACGACAGTATTAAATTTTCTGGTCGTGTAAACTAGGCCCTGGGCCTGGGGTAGGTTTTGACTCGCAAATATCGCGATGTTTCAGGCTTAATCTAGACAACGTTTCCCCGTAAATTTGGCATTACCACTACCCTGGAATGGTAATATACAGTATTCAACTTTTCAAAGCCTCAATCTATCCCAGTCCATCCATATTTTGTTCCCCCAACAAGGACAATTACGAATAAAATATGATTCTACTAAACAAAGTTAGATATACATATTAAAATACCCTACTTTGAATAAACTCTTCTCTCGAATAAACTTCCTCATTTGGAGGAAATGCCCCGGGGCATTTATTTTTCTCTTGAAAAACTCTCCCCTACATGAGGGTAAACCAAAGTAATTAAAGGAACATCATTCTCAACACATTCTATTAATATTTTACTCCAGTAGAATTACTTTTTTACTTACCAGGTTGGAATCATAAAGTCTTTATTATGCAATAACATTTTGACTTTAATTATTTGGTTTAGTTACATTTAATAAGGCACATTTATGTGTATCCATTTGACGCCAGAAAAATAAGTGCCCCCTCAAAACATCCCTCAAAAACTGTTTTACCATATAATTTAATAATAATTTACTTGTACCTGTACATCTAAGATTTTATTGTTATTGTAAGAAGAAGGTAAATATTTTTATATTCATGTTTGCTTTTTTTGGCATATAATATTTTATATTAATCATAAGATTTGTATTTTGAAGAGTTGCCATGAGATGCGTGACTGCTTAAGCCAGAGCAACTTTAAAGGATTTTTAGAACACCTGAAAGGACTTAACAACTTCTACCAACTGCCATGTGAAGTGTGAGTTTCAAACTGGTTTTTTATAATTTCTTTTGTTTACTAAGGCTGAGGTTCCTGTTTCATAATGCATTTTTTATTGAACTCATTTGAAGTCATTTGTCTTCTGAGGAATTTCTAGCTTGGTGCTTATAAAATTAGATTGTGATGATGATGGGCAGTTCCAAGCAAAAGGGGACAAGACACCCGAAATTTGAAATCAGACTCTTCATAGCAGTTTTGATATCAAATGAAAGCTTAAAGTCTAAATTACCATAATCTGTAAAATATATCAATATTTTGGTCATTAACGCATATAAATTTGCATAATTAACGATATCAATAATTAATGTAATTTCGCAAAATTTTATGTAAATTCACCCAAGGCCCAAAGACCCCAATGAGGAAAAATAGGCCCAGAACCCCATGAAAAATCTCAGAAAATCTGGGTTTATGTCTTTGTCACAGAGTATTTAGGCCCACTTGCAATTACATCCCCAGGCCCCACAGCCCTTTAACCTGGCCCTGCATTAATAATGAATGGGAAAATAAAAGTTGTTTACAGTTTCTAGGTACAGTACATCATTATAGAAAAATATTTCACATAACATACTTCGTTACGCATCAGCGGCCTTATATATTTCTGTATAAAATTATGAGTACCAATACCTACGTTCATGTAATTTTTGAGTTCAAAGATTTTGCTTTTATTAAATATGATTTAATAAAATGTGTCATTCCGTAATACTTAGCATTATGGAATGATGTTAAGGAATGAAATTCTATAGAATCAATAGGCATGGAAGTCAGCAAATGTTCAGGCTTAGTTTTAATGGACTTTAACAATTGACACCTAATGAGTTAGGTCAATCAAGTCATGGTTTCTAAAGAGATAGTGCCTTAGTAATTAAGCATCATGTTAGGACTACTGTAGATAAGGAAATGCGTAAGGTTTCTTACCACCATGGACTTAAATTTAACAGCCTTCTACGTGAAGATGCAATAATCAACGGAACGTGTAGGATCCCTAACCATATAATCACTAACTTAACTGGCGAAACATTATCTAAGGAAGAGGAATCTGTCTTAACTTTTGGTATCCGTATTGGATTAGCAACACGACCTAAGGATTCTGACATGTTTGTTTATGCAGAATCAATTTGGGAACAACTGATGCTATACCTAAATCATTTGTTAAACGAGAAAAGATTAGGAACTCAATTCGTGCCATGACATGTAACTTTCTTGATTTTGATAACTGCAACTTAAATTGTGATACCAAATGTATTAATACTTTAAAAATCATATGCAATAAATATGTAATTCTTAGACCTGATAATGGAAATGGTGTTGCGATAATGAATAAATCTGATTATATTACATCTATGACCAGCTTGTTCTCTGATCCATCCAACTAAATTTAAGAGTTGTCTACCTGTTCATTAACCACACAGCTTAACTCCTTACAATCCTACCTTCGAACACTTTTTAGTAGAAAAGAACTAACTGAGGCTGAATACAAAGAAATTTGTCCAGTATCAACCATGCCTGCCAGAGCTCATGGTCTAACTAAATTACAATCGGATTTTGTTAATATTCCACCTCTAAGGCCTATTATTGACACAACCGGCACTTGTTATTACTCAGTAGCTAAGTTCTTATCTAACTTATTAGGGCGTCTTATCGTTAATGACTTGGTCCTTAAAGATTCGTTCGATGATGCTGACCGCATTAAAGGTATACCAGACCATTTATATAATTTAGGTTACTGATTTGTATCTTTTGATGTTGAATCTCTGTTTACAAATGTTCCCCTTCCTAAGGTAATTAATATAATCCCTTGATAGGGTTTACATTAGGAAATTGATATTTACTAATCTTAAGAAAAATATGTTAAGGTAACTGCTTAGGGATTGCTGTAATAAAATTGTATTTATGTGTATTAATGAATTCTATAAACAAACTGATGGTGTTTCCATGGGCCAGTTTTAGCCAAGATTTTAATGACTGAACTAGAAGAGTATATTGTTCCTAAATTTATAGAATCGGGTATTATTAAGTTTTGTACTCGTTGTGTTGACGACACACTAGTGCTAGCTAAACCTAATGATTTTCATCACATCCTACGTCACTTTAACACTTTTCATAAACAGATTAATTTTACCTTTGAATCACTTGAAAACAGTGATATAGTATATTTTCTGTCCACAATTTTACAACAGCATAGGAAGCATGAGTACCCTTTAAAAGTTGTTAACCATGTACTCAATAAATTAAATGAACCTAAATGCATACATAGACCTACTGATGATAGCTTGATTAAGATCTGGGTTAGATTGCCTTATCTAGGAAAGGCAGGTGAATCCATTTTACGTATGCTTAAACAAAGTAAAGAAACAGAAACAGAAAGAGGTAAAATTCATAACATTATGGCAGTACAGAAATGTCTCTCATTTTATATAAGGAATATCCAGGTTGTAATAGTGATTATATTGGTAAGACTGATAGATGCTTAATAACTAGACTTAAAGAAAATTCTTCATGATCTGATAGTGTTATAAATGATCATATACAAAATTGTGATATACTTGAAAATGGTATTAATGTAGCTTGTAATGTAAGTAATAATTTAGGTTTAATATTTTCTAATACTAACATTATGCTTAGAATTTGCTCACCAACTATGCAAATCACCAAATTTTAGATCCTGGATACCTGCTCAAATAGACCACCAATATAGTTGGAGAAAGAAAAATCAATTCAAACCACCTACTTTCAGAACTAATAGGTACAAGCAAAGCCCAATTCCATACCTCATTAGTATCTTAAACCAGCAAAATACTTAAGACTTGCATTATCTACTTGAACCTCAATATTAACATTAAGCTCAGATTAATCAGTTCATCCTAAACCTAAATCATAGCTTAATTTTTAAATGAATATATTTTTACAGTTGTGTATCTTTACCCTTATATTTTGAATTTATACATAAATGTTTTTTCGTAATCTTTGTGCAATGTATAGACCCAGGTCTGTTTTTTTCCCTAATGTATCATTCGCAATTTAGCTGCAAAGCTACAATGATAAAATTTTGAAATAAAACTTGAACTTGAACTTATTGACAGTTTGCAAAATTGGTCTATACTATTGTTTAAAGAAGCGTTTGTTATACGTAGGCTACACCTATTGCTTAACCCTCTAGATACCGTCTTCAACTGTAGTCAAAATTGACCTCAAACCGAGAATTCCCATTTTCGACTGCAATCGAAATTTCGTGACTAAAAAATAGGTGGTTTTCAAATCGCTCTTCTGTTTTTATTCTAGCTCCAATACGTCAGAAATTTTGAACACGCATGCGTGAAGCTTTTGTCTTTCAAAATATGTGAAGAACTCACTTGCGCTTATATAAACATTTTTAGAAATATCAATTTGAAATCGTTATTAATTTCAAAAATTGTTCAAAATGGCCGCACAAGATGTGTACACAGCTGAGCAAGCGATTGACCTGATTTTTGATTCAGACAGCGATGAAGGTGAATTTTTAGATGTGTGAGACTTAGACGTGCCTGTTAGCGATGATGACGGTGGGGCTTCAAGCAGTTCTGACGGCGGAGATGTTCTTGATGAAGATGAGCCTAGGCCTAGAAATGTGAGGGTAGTCAACGCTTTTGAATGGAAAGATCGCACTTATAGTTATGGATGGTTGGGTAAATAAATTATATAACTGTGTGGAATAGGAATGTTTTATATTTGTTTTTATTTTTTTTTGGCTATAATTTATTTATTTTTTTCGGTTTTTGCTGACGATTTATATGTAGCATTTTTCTGTCATTTCTATTATATTATATATATATATATATTATATTATATTATATTATGAAAAAAAATTCCCAAAAATATAAATTATACATCAAATGAAAGCTTATTCTATAAGCTTTCTTTGTTTTTGAAACATTTTTTGTATAATTTAGAAAAAGTTCCCAAAAATCACCAGAACGACGTATACTCAAAAAACACAAAAAACCTTGTTACACTGCAAAAGAATCCGGTATTCAAGGGTTTGCACTACAAAAGAATCCGGTATCCAGAGGGTTAACAATTGGCTGAAAGCTTCAAAGAGGCTTTATTTGTTTTTGTAGGTAGCTTTGATCAGTAGGGTAAGAATGCTTTGATCTTTAGTCTATACATAGCTATGTCACCTACTAGGGGTAATGTTTTGATTGGTCAAACACTTTTGGTACTTGTGCATATAAGCTCGCAAGTATGGATAATTTTTCATTCCTGATGATGACAAAATTAATGTTGAAATATTGAATCCCGACACGATGGCGTGCATTTCGATACTTGAAGTACTTATTATACTATCTTACCTAAAGAGATAATGTACAGTTATTAAAATCTGAAAAATAAATATATAAATAAATATATACTCTGGGCTTTTCCTGAGGAAAGGCTGAAATGTAAAATAAGGAGTAAAGTAGGGGGTGGGCTTATACCTGTCTCTTATACACATCTAGATGTGTATAAGAGACAGTGCTATACCTAAATCATTTGTTAAACGAGAAAAGATTAGGAACTCAATTCGTGCCATGACATGTAACTTTCTTGATTTTGATAACCGCAACTTAAATTGTGATACCAAATGTATTAATACTTTAAAAATCATATGCAATAAATATGTAATTCTTAGACCTGATAATGGAAATGGTGTTGCGATAATGAATAAATCTGATTATATTACATCTATGACCAGCTTGTTCTCTGATCCATCCAACTAAATTTAAGAGTTGTCTACCTGTTCATTAACCACACAGCTTAACTCCTTACAATCCTACCTTCGAACACTTTTTAGTAGAAAAGAACTAACTGAGGCTGAATACAAAGAAATTCGTCCAGTATCAACCATGCCTGCCAGAGCTCATGGTCTACCTAAATTACAATCGGATTTTGTTAATATTCCACCTCTAAGACCTATTATTGACACAACCGGCACTTGTTATTACTCAGTAGCTAAGTTCTTATCTAACTTATTAGGGCGTCTTATCGTTAATGACTTGGTCCTTAAAGATTCGTTCGATGATGCTGACCGCATTAAAGGTATACCAGACCATTTATATAATTTAGGTTACCGATTTGTATCTTTTGATGTTGAGCTTTGTTCTGTAGTCTATACATAGCTATGTCACCTACTACGGGTTATGTTTTGATTGGTCAAACACTTTTGGTACTTGTGCATATAAGCTCGCAAATATGGATAATTTTTCATTCCTGATGATGACAAAATTAATGTTGAAATATTGAATCCCGACACGATGGCGTGCATTTCGATACTTGAAGTACGTATTATACTATCTTACCTAAAGAGATAATGTACAGTTATTAAAATCTGAAAAATAAATTCCCAAAAAGTGTTTTAAAAGTTTCAAATACCGGTAATTTATTAAATTTCTCTGAAACATAGACTAAACCAAATAAGTTTTCACTTTACAGATCGTTTTTTAATCCTATAATTTACTACCAGCCAATTTAAGGGTCTGTGCAAAAGATAGGAACTGTATTACCATAGTTCCTCTGGTATAAGCCCACAACCTCTTGAACACAATATTGGGCCAATTTTGGGGGTGCTCTTAACTTAAGAATTCAATAAAAAAGAAATTTTTTGTCACTGAATGCCAAATTCAAAGCCAATATATGATTAATTTTTTTTAGTATTTGTAAGAGTCAGCTAAGCTACTCATGTAAATCTTAAATGTTTAAACTCCAAGTTTGATTGTAACCTTGCGTCAAACTTTTATTTTTATGTTCCTGTGCGTAAGCTTCGTATTAATCATTTGTTAAAAGTTCAGTATTCTTGTGTTAATGTATGTAATAATGGTAGTTTTTATTTTGTTGCTCTTCCTTACAATAATTTAGTTCAAATTTAGTTTTCAAGTATCATAATTTTTAATTGTAATATTTCTACCCTTAATCTAATCCTCAATATTTAATATGTAGTAATGAATATTTATGCTATTTTATGTATATTTTAATCTTTAGACATATATTTTTTATATCATATTGTATTTTTATGGTGACCCTGTTTTTGGCGTTTGACACATTGTTGGGTCTTGAATAAATATATAAATAAATATATACTCTGGGCTTTTCCTGAGGAAAGGCTGAAATGTAAAATAAGGAGTAAAGTATGGGGTGGGCTTATACTGCTCATTGTATTCACATCAGCGCAGTTTGAAGCATTACGAAATCACAATTTTAAAGCATTTTCAAGTTTTAAATGCAAATAAAATGTATAACACTATTTTTAACTACCATATGGTACCATATAACAGACTTGACCATTAAGGTGAAAATACAACAATTTCAAAATACTATTCAAATTTGACAGTGGAACTGGTTCTGTGAAAATCTACCCCTGTTGTCTGCTGCTGCTTTAGCTATTCCCCACGATGTCCATCCTGCCTTTGTTCTCTCTGTCATTCCCTTATTTCCAGTTTCCATGTCAATACAACATTTCAGTCGTACCTTTGATCTTGTCTTTAAGTATGACCCAGCCAGAAGAGTTACATTTGCCTGCAAAACACAGTATTTTAGTATGAATACGAAAAGAAATACATTTAAAAATTATGTCAAAAGTAAATTTGCTCATTTATATAAAGAGATTGAGTACATTTATTTTCTCCAGGCATAGGGTGTTCTGGATTTCAGTTTTATTTAGATCCATTGATAAGTTTTTAAAGGTATTTATGTCTGGGACACCAGGAATTAAAATAACTATCATATTTACCCCCTAAATTGGATCGTCACCAAAACTATAATTTCTTCCTTGTAACTTTGTTAAACTTCAGATTAGTTGATCCGTTTTTGTTTTGACATCTGGTGTAGAGTTTTGCCCTTGAATCCCTTTATTTGGTCCTCACATCCACACCCCATTCTAGATTGACACTAAATATTAGGAGGTACATCCTTGATATGCTTCGACAACGTATGGAAAAGATCCAAGCATGGAAAGTGACCAAAATTCTGGGCGGAAAAAACCCAGTGCGAAAGATAGAAAAACAATATGGAAGAATAAAGAAATTCAGAACAAAAACAATGACTTTTTCCAGCTACTGCTGGGAAAAGCCAATAATAATATTAATATAATTAATACTTTTTTATGTTTTTTTTTGTGTATTTTGTGTTGTGTTTTCTTTTTTATGTGAGAATGTTGTTTTTTTAAAGATTTTATTGTTTTTACTTTAGATGTTTATTTGTCTTCTCATTTTTATCTGAATTGTACATTTGAGAACTTATATTTGTTTTGCAATACATTTATATTGAATTGAAGATATTCATAAAATATCCTACACAATGCAAAAAGGTTTAAATTAAACACAATTTACAATACAATATCAATTGGCACTACAAGCATGTAACAATTCATCTTTATCTGTAGCTCTGTGAAACGGGATGCCTTCAAATGTCTTCAAACTCTAGAAGATGATCTCAAGGAAATATTCAATATTAGCTGGTATGAAAATTTTGTTTTTTTAAATTGGCAAAGTTATAGTTATTGATTGCCTTACTATTTAATGAGTATCCTTAATTTGTGGTGATTGTATAAGTAGTAATCCTTCTAATAGACATGTTTGAGCTTTGACCTTTTTCTTATGTACTTCTGTGTGTGTGTTTGTGTGTAGGCAAGCTGGTTTATAAACTCAAAAAACTGTATACATGATCCCACTAAATTCATGTCATATAATTTATGCTGGTCACATGTTGCTGTGTATAAGGTCTTTAAATTTTGTTTCTTGTGAATATGGAATACAGGAAAGAACAATACCCTAGCTTGATGTAATGTTCTGAGACGGGGTTTTTATTGTACAGTATTGTATATGTCATGACTTGAGATTACACCTATGGTGACTTTTGATCTTTAAACTTATTGGAACCCTTTTGTATCAGTGGCACACCATCTGGTGGTGCATACAAATAACAAGCAAACTACCATAAGTGACTAATAATTTTTTTCTTCTTTCCTTCTCCTTTCTTTTCCTTTTCTCTTTCTTCCTCTTTTCCTCCCCACCCTTCTTTTTTTTCCCTTTTTTTTCCTTCCCCTCTTTCCCCTTTTTTAACAATTCAAATGACAAAGTGAAATTTAGGTGTGTACTGAAATAATAAATAATGATAACAATAAATAATAGCGCTGTTTGGTTTACTTCAGGAAAGCAGGAAAACTTGCAGCAACCATTTTTACATCGCAGCGTGTACAGAAATTATTGACTCCGAGTGAGATACCTAAGTGACAAACCTATAAATTAAGTATCTAATACTGTTCATATGCCAGTCAGATCATGGAGGTGGTTGGAGCGTCGTAATTTGAAATAAAAACTTAACTTAAGTTTACATTTATCCTAAAATTATCATTGTAATATTGAGAGCGAAATACTGGATGGCATCTATCTTTTTGTTGATGATAAGCACTGGTCAATTTGACTAATTACAGGTTGATAATCTTGTAATTAGCCTGTGGGTGAAAGCTATCATTTACATTCTACAACTTTTTCCATGTACGAATGTAGCATTCGTCATACATGGTTTCACATAACTGTTGAGGAAATTTTGATCACTAAATACAATTGGATTTAGTCAAAATGACCCAACTATTCATGTTCTACTAAGCAAATAAGAGGATTGATTGGATGTGTCTATTGGTCGAAAGTCAAAGAACCAAACAGCAGTGAAGACTGACATAGCAGAAGTAAAAGCTGGGGTTGAAATAGGGATTAAGAGATTTTAGAACAATACTGAGAAAATTAATATTTAAAATGTTGACTTAGATTCCAAAATGCATGAAAAATTTGATGATTTCTATGAGAAGCTGAACACAATAAATAATGTAATTTTATGTGGAGTTATGGATGTTATAAAGAGCCTTATGGCGGATGAATTGTTAAATTTTATTTTAGGATTGGTTTAAAAGAAATGAATAAATTCAGACCTTTAAATGTACAAGTGTTTTTTAATATTTCACTAATCAGGAATTTTAACCTGTTTGCCATGATAACTAAAGTTTGGTAAATCTGATTGGTTTCAAACTTCGCACAATGCAAGATGGTAATAAGGCGGTTTGGCACAGCGATTTTCATTCAGTTTGTGAACCTCGTTGTCGAGGGTTTGAATCACACGCTGACCATTCTCGGCTGGCCATGCTTAGTTGCCACTTCACAACCCCCAACAGCTTGCACTGTTGACAGGTTGTGAAGTGACTCTCGCTACGTTTTAGCCCTAGGTGCGAGTATTTTATGGCTTATAAATCAAATAAATATTGTGGCTGCCTCTCATCAGTATGGATGCTAACATCAGGCCTAGATATACAATAAATAAATAAATTAATAATTAAATAAATAAAGTAATGAAGTCTATAGTTTTTGGTACATGTGTGAATAGACTAATTGCTCATTTGCACAATTAGTATTTCACCAAAACGACCCAGGCCGAAACAACCTGACACATAATAATAATTGCTTTTAAAGTCCCTTTGAGGTCAGTACATTAGAGAAATTTTGGTGTTTTACCTGAATACCATTATAACATTCATAGTATCACATCCTAAGTCTGGTTGTGATTTCCTCTTTATCAAAAAATTGTGAAATTTATAAGTACTAGGAATTGGAAATCTTAAAATTATTGTCACATGACTTGTAAAATGTCAGATTCAATGTCTCTTAAAAAGTTGCTAGAGCTGGGATATACTCACCTGGCAGCCTGCAAGTGTGTGTTAACTGGCCGGTTAGAGAAAGCCTAAAATTATTACTGTATAGTTAATGCCACTAGGCCTAATACAGACTTCTCAAGTTAGGAAAAAGCATTTCAGTGACTATGTCTTCAAGTATCCATAGTAAAATATTAATTTTTAAAAAAATAATTTGTTCCTGACGTTGGACAATATGTAGACCTATTTATTTACAATTGTAGGCCGAGTGATAAATTTCTTGTAGTATTTTGGTCTCTTGCTGTATGTCCGTAATTAGGCAAAATTTTCCCTAGCAACTTCGGATGGTCCGTAGAACTTGAGAAGTCTGCCTATTATTGCATCATTTCACACTACATTACCAATTTTTTAAATTTTTTTATGTGGGAGTGACCTCACCCACCTCCTGTAGACCAGTTGGTCGCTTTGCAACCTTGCATGATCATTGGACCTTTAATCTATTCAATCTACAAACTTGGCTCCTATTAAAATGTATTTGAGAACTCCTGCTTTCTTTTTTTTTTTTGTCATGGAGAAGTGATTCTTACAAATTTAAAAGAATGTTCCAAACTTTGTCGCTGCATTGGTTGGATCTCGATTACAGATATAAGCTTAAATCAGAATACTCACACAATTATAACTCTACTCTAAGTTTAAGAATGCAATTTCACCATTGCAAGCTGTAAACTTGTATTGGGGTTAAACATAGTTTACATTTAGCTATGGTTGTATATCAAGTAATAATATATGTCATGTCACAAATTGTCTACGAAAGTGTGAAAGTTAACTTACAATTTATGATGTGTTTGTGTTTTTTTATTGTGAAAATATATATAGGTACTGTATATTATGTAAAGAAAGATATCAATGAAGCTAGTAAATAATCACAACGTTTAATAGATACTGCCGCCCTGGGCACACAATGCCAGCAGTACTTTACAGTGGCCAGTCAGAATACTGGCTTATACACAACGGCAGCGGAACATTTTTGAAAGTGGGGGTGGGGACCATTTCATAGGGTCCAATATGCGAGCGAAGCGAGCATCTTGGCTGGGGGTGGCCACAAAGGGCCCCCGGTGGGGGTGCACGCCCCCTGGAATCTACGGATATTTTACGAAGTATGGTGAATTTTATTATAACTTATTTTATAGGCATCAAGCTACTGAAATATGACTTCATATTTTGTTGTAATTTCCAGTGGAATCAGTGGTGGTTAGGATTTACCAAGCAGCTTAGCTCAGTTGGTTTAGAAAGCAGCTTAGCTCAGTCGGCTAATCTGTTGGTAGCCACTGTGTGTGTGCTGAACCGTGGAGATCTCTAGGTCCCCTGTTCAATTCCCATCGCTGCCTCTCCTTGTGTTTCAGCTAGAGGACTGAAATAAATAGTAGCTCTAGATGACCGGAAATGACACTTTTATATAGTAAAATTCATCGTCATTACATCACTATTATAGTAAAAATGAAGCGGCAACAAATTTCTCATGAGTTTTGGCAACCATAGATGTCTAAATAATATGTGTGATGTACTATAGAAAATAAATATTAAAAACTTTGCCTTAGATGTACTTAATTTAGGCCATTGTCCACACAAGGGCTGAGGTGGGAACATTTGGGGAAATCTCTAGATTATCAGAAATGACACTCTGTTATAATACATCTCATCATCGTCGATCAAATTAATTGCTGTGATGTTCCATTGAAAATGAAACTCAATTGTCATTGATGCATTTTTAATTTACTTTACCATGTGCCGAAAACCAATCCTATTATTATTATTACATGCTTTTTTCATACTTCTCAAATTATAATAAAGGCACGCGCACAAGAGTCGTGTATTAGTAATTCAGATGTTTGTGGGCAGAGATAGATTTGTTAAAACCTGGGTCAATATGCAGTTCATTTCAACAATTTTCAGGCATCTTCTTGACTTTATTACATTGAGGACGAAAAGAGGGACCAACCCCCACCCTCTTAAAGATATTTTGGGACGTGTCCCACTGTCCCTCCTTGATCATGGGGATGAAAAGAGGGACCAACCCCCACCCCCTTAAAGATATTTTGGGACGTGTCCCACTGTCCCTCCTTGATCATGGGTTTAGGGAGAGGCATCTCCTTCCATTTGAGATTTTTTGGAATTAGTTGACGGCTAGACGCTCTTGGATGATATCTGACAAGAAGTTAAGCTTAAAATAGAAAGTGTATGTTTTACGAGAGTAGCCTACTACATGTAACATGTATACATGAGAAGCACACACAAGACGAGTGACTATATATTTTTTTCAAGGTCACCAAAGGGGGGTGGCTAGCCACCCTATTAACCCCCCTAGATCCACCTCTGGGCATATCCTGGAATTCAAAATACAAGGGCCCAGGAAGGGTACTTTCACAGATAGAAGATCTATATTATTTCAGCCCACCATGGTTGGGGCTGAGGTAAGAAAATTTGTGATTATGACACCTCTAGATGGCCGGAAATTGCACTTCCAGACATAAAATTTGAATATAATTAACCTTATATCTCCATTTTTTAAGACAATTTAGATGCGAGGGCGGGCCGGCTGGGTCCCCTTGAATTCGCCACTGGGTACTTTAGCAGATAGAGGATCTATACCACCTCAGCCCCACCATGGTTGGGGCCGAGGTAAGAACAATTTTGATTTTGGCACCTCTAGATGGCGGGAAATTACACTCTCAGACTTAAAATTTGAATATAATTTTGATTATATCGCCATTAAAAAAAAAATTGAACAATTTAGCCCCCGCCCTTGAATGCGTCACAGATTGAAGTCCAGATTGCTTCCACGGTCTCAATGAATTATTTATCATACAGGTTATCCTTGATATGGTTTCCCCGATGACTTCACTTTTCCTCCAATGGATAAAAATTACCCTTCTATGTAGCCCGGATATGACACTTCAACTGTGGCGGGTCTAGGAAATCAAAATAGAGGGGACCCAGAGAGGGTTTTGCGCAATTAAAAGGTCCACTCCCCTCATCCGCACAACTGTTGGGGCTGAGGTAAGAAAAAGTATGATTTTGGCACCTCCAGATGGCCGGAAATGGCACTCTCAGATTAAAAGTTAAATAAAATTTTGTCTGTTCTCCATTTTTTTTTTATAATTTGAAAAAAATTAGGAGGTTGGGGGCCCATGCTGACAGGGTTCCCCCTTGAATCTGCCACTGTTCAATATAAAACTGAAGCGAAAGATATTTTTATTCGAAAGATTTTTTTTATTCTACAGTTTTTACAACCTATAACACATTAACTACAGCGTACTGTAAATTCTGTAGTTAACCTTCAGAGAACTTTATTTAAAAAAATTAAATGGTCAAATTAATTATCTTATGGTTTTTGTTAAATTAGATGGAGTTTAAATGTGTGGTTGTATTCCGCTAGTCTGAAGGTTTACTGTAAGCCAATCAGTTACATTTACTATATCTTCGTTGTTAGCATAAAGAGAACTAGAGCGTTGCTCCATTAAGAGTGCCTACCTTCCCCCCAAATGCCTAAATACAGAATACACAAAGGCAGGTGATTTTTTCTTCATGATTGAGGGCGGGTTTCAAGAAAACTTTACACACGCGTATACAGACGTCAGTCAAAATTGGTTGCTCAACTCTAAAAGGGAACTTGTAATGCTCGTTAGAAAATGAAAAAAAAAATCTTTATTCTATAATGATAATAATAGGTCAATTTATAAGATGCAAATAAACAAGGTGTCTAAGCACCAAATAATAATAATATTCCTAATAATAATAATGATAATAATAATAATAAAAATAAAAGTAATAATAATAATAATAACAATAAAAAATAATAATAATAATGATAATAATAATGATAATAACCTTGTGCTGGGAACAGTCACAAAAGTGGTCGGGGGGCCCAGGCCCCCCTCCCCCCAGTAGAAAAAGTGGGTGGGCCAATGGCCCCTGTCCCCCTCCCCCGCTTCCGCCCCCGTTGCTTATACAGTAAGCCTAACTCAGTTTAAATACCGATATTTGATAATCATTGAGCTTAGCGTCACTAAATTGATTTTAAATTCAGGTCTCATTGTAATTAAAGACCCTCCAAATTTTGACCACTTTAATTAAAGATCATTTTTCACTTTTCCAAGCCCCCAAATGAATGCCTATTTTTATTTTTATAATAATAAAAATTTTTTATAATTAAAGACCAAAGCTGCTAAAGACCATGAAACCACTGTTGAATTTGTAGTGATTTCTGTTGTATCTCTTCTTTTTGTTTTTTTTAAGTCGTACAACATATTAAAAAAATCTTTACTCCGGAGACTGGCTTTAGAAACTTTTGTGTTTCTAGAATTATTATTATTAATTTTTCTTCTATAGTTTGACAACTTCAAATGTAATGATGTTAATTCTGAAAGGGTTAGTGGGTTTTGTGACACCAAGAATTGGAGGCAAGTAAATTTATTTTATTTTAAAAGCTATTAATATTATGCCTCATTTGTAGTTTTGAAAACTTATTTTCTTCTGGTTTGTGGTGCGGAATCAATCACACACACTGTACAACCTCCTGCTCTACATGTGGTATTCTGTCGCATTAAAGTCAGCACAGCCAAAATTTTATTCTAAATCATTTCATATCCTACCAAGTACTCATGTCTGTGTAATGCCGAGTGCCTTTCCAAAGACACAAGTTAAACTTACAACTGTAAAAATAAATTACCACTACATTTTGAATGGACATATTTGAAAAGAAATAGAAGCTGGTTACAATTATTAAATTGAAGCTTCCATTAGATTAGGCCAAATAAAATAAATTGTTTGCCCTTCTTTTTTTATAAATGATAAATAGGGGCAGGTGAAAAAAGTTTTTTTTAAATTTATTTATTTTTTTAAATACTCGTCAGATGGAATCAAAATAACCTTCAGTAGTCCGGCAGCTTAGCAGATGGATGTGGACGTTCCGGACAAAAGCACCAATTATTTTTTACATGCTCCTTATGGTCATAGCATTCAATTTTTGGTAGGAACCACCTCATCCGTGGTCATTATGGCGGGCATCTTGGATTTCAAAATGGCCGCCTAATAAAACCTATGATTATTTATATCTCCGCTTCTAAACTACTTGGAATTATAATTCTAATGTCTGAAACTATCTTATATGGTCAAGGAATACCATCATACCATTTTTGACCTGGTCAGATTGACACAAATAGGTCATTTAAGGTCATTAAAGGTCAAATATTGTATGGTATCTTAAAAATTACATGATTTTCATATTTTACATTAGAACCATACCCTGACTCTCAGAATTCAAAATCTTTACTATGAACTACAATAATTCATATGAGGTCATTCTGGTGGCCATCTTGAATTTCAAAATTGCTACCATGCAAATCCTATATTTATCAATATATCGGTTTTTAAACCACTTTAATGAGAATTATATCTAAAATTATATTTCAAAGTCAAGGATTTGTGACATGGTCAGATTTAAGGTCATTCAATGTATATACCATACCATTACCATTTTTTACCTGGTCAGATTGCCACAAATAGGTCATTCAAGTTCAAATATGGTATGGTATCTTAAAAATTACGTAACTCATGTATTACATTAGAACATTAGAATCATATCCATACTCTCAGAATTCAAATGTTTTACTATGAAAT